TTACATACGCCTGGGAAGTGGGCTTTAAGATGGGCTTACATACGCCTGGTAGAAGCAGGCCCTTGAAGGGGAAATAATCCGCAATAAGCTGAGTCAGATTAAGGTATCGTCAAGTTTTAAGGTATCGTCAAGTTTTAAGGTATCTTCAAGTTTTAAGGTATCGTCCAGTTTTAAGGAATCGTCAAGTTTTAAGGTATCGTCAAGTTTTAAGGTATCGTCAGAGTATAAAGTATCGTTAAGATTTAAGGTATCGTCAAGTTTTAAGGTATCGTCAGAGTATAAAGTATCGTTAAGGTTTAAGGTATCGTCAAGTTTTAAGGTATCGTCAGAGTATAAAGTATCGTAAAGATTTAAGGTATCGTCAGAGTATAAAGTATCGTAAAGGTTTAAGGTATCGTCAAGCGCAAAATAAGCATCCCGCCCATGGCTAGTGGGTGAAGCGGCGTGGTGGTGTGGTGTGTGTTGTGTTATTACGTGTGGTTTTGTGGTGTTATTACGTGTGGTTTTGTGGTTTCTCTCTGCCTTTTTGGGTTCAGTGCGTTAGTAGTATGTGTGGTGTGTGTGTGGTACGTGTGGTGTGTGTGGTGTAATGTCATGTCATTTGATGCCAGCTTGTTTATACCACACAACCACAACCACATCATTAAAACGAACACTCTACCACCACATTACATACAACACCAACACGACAGCATATGGTAGCACTAACATCCCAACACCATCTAAACACCTTAAAACTATCACACACACAATACCACACAAACACAGATAATTACACCATTACACCAATGGACAATTACACCATTACACCAACACACTAACGGATAATTACACCAATACACCAACACACTAACGGATAATTACACCAACACACTAACGGATAATTACACCATTACACCAACACACTAACGGATAATTACACCATTACACCAACACACTAACGTATAATTACACCATTACACCAACACACTAACGTATAATTACACCATTACACCAACACACTAACGTATAACTACACCATTACACCAACACACTAACGGATATTTACACCATTACACCAACACACTAACGTATAATTACACCATTACACCAACACACTAACGTATAATTACACCATTACACCAACACACTAACGTATAATTACACCATTACACCAACACACTAACGGATATTTACACCATTACACCAACACACTGACGTATAATTACACCATTATACCAACACACTAACGTATAATTACACCATTACACCAACACACTAACGGACAATTACACCATTACACCAACGGATAATTACACCACTACACCAACACACTAACGGACAAATACACCATTACACCAACGGATAATTACACCATTACACCAACACACTAACGGACAATTACACCATTACACCAACACACTAACGTATAATTACACCATTACACCAACACACTAACGGATAATTACACCATTACACCAACACACTAACGTATAATTACACCATTACACCAACACACTAACGGATAATTACACCATTACACCAACACACCAACGGATAATTACACCAACACCCGTCCCAGCGTGTGTAAACACAGTCACGTGATGCCCGTATGGCCAGAGATGCGTGTACCAAGATATACCCTGCGGCGCGGCTGATCTGGAAGTGATGGCGTCGACAGCTGTTGGTGAGAACAGCTGATTTGATGGCTGACTAAATTGGTTGGTGTGGCTGACTAAATTGGTTGCCGATGTTGTGGCTGACTAAATTGGTTGCCGATGTTGTGGCTGACTAAATTGGTTGCCGATGTTGTGACTGACTAAATTGGTTGCCGATGTTGTGACTGACTAAATTGGTTGCCGATGTTGTGGCTGACTAAATTGGTTGCCGATGTTGTGGCTGACTAAATTGGTTGCCGATGTTGTGGCTGACTAAATTGGTTGCCGATGTTGTGACTGACTAAATTGGTTGCTGATGTTGTAGCTGACTAAATTGGTTGTTGGTGTGGCTGACTAAATTGGTTGTTGGTGTGGCTGAATAAATTGGTTGCCGATGTTGTGGCTGACTAAATTGGTTGCCGATGTTGTGGCTGACTAAATTGGTTGCCGATGTTGTGGCTGACTAAATTGGTTGTTGTTGTGGTTGACTAAATTGGTTGTTGTTGTGGCTGACTAAATTGGTTGTTGGTGTGGCTGACTAAATTGGTTGTTGGTGTTGTGGCTGACTAAATTGGTTGTTGGTGTTGTGGCTGACTAAATTGGTTGCTGGTGTTGTGGCTGACTAAATTGGTTGTTGGTGTTGTGGCTGACTAAATTGGTTGTTGGTGTTGTGGCTGACTAAATTGGTTGCTGGTGTGGCTGACTAAATTGGTTGTTGGTGTGGCTGACTAAATTGGTTGTTGGTGTGGCTGACTAAATTGGTTGCCGATGTTGTGGCTGACTAAATTGGTTGTTGGTGTTGCCGCGATGTTGGCTGTTGAGACGGAAGGTGTGCTAGATGTGGTGGTAGCCGTCGGTTGTAGTGGTTCTGTTGGCAGATGTGGTAGGTGTTGTGGTTGGTGTTGTGGTTGGTGTTGTGGTTGGTATTGTGGTTGGTGTTGTGGTTGGTGTTGTGGTTGGTGTTGCAGTAGCTTGAATTTGTAAACTAATGACGTCACTAAAAATGGGATCCCTTTAAAGGCAGTCTCGTGTCGTGGACCCACTTAGCGGGGGGTTTTGTTGATATTGAACCAGGTTATAGTCTAGTCGGCTGCCGGGGTTCAGTCAAGTCAGGGGTCTACACCTCCCGTGGTTCAGTCAAGTCAGGGGTCCACACCTGCCGGGGTTCAGTCAAGTCAGGGGTCCACACCTGCCGGGGTTCAGTCAAGTCAGGGGTCCACCGCATGTCAGAATATAGCTGACAAGAACTGAATGTTGAAAAAGTTATTTTAAAGCGATCACGAATTTTTCCAGTGCGTAATTTTTACAAACATAACATACTTACATATTACACTTACACTAAATACACAAGATAAATACATCAGACCTTACAGAAAGCTTAAGATAACAGAGTCGGGTGTGAAAGTTTACAAATTTTTATTACAAAAAGATTTAAACAAACTGGTTGTATGATCTTGTCCAGTGCAATGTCGGAGTGTCGGGGGGTGTGGGAGTGTCGAGGACACCCCAGGGTTCACCCCTAGGCACACCCCTACAAGAAGTGATCATACCATCAAAGCGAGAAAACAGTTATGAAAAAATTAAGCAGAAAATTTTTTTGTTACTTCAAACACGCTGTGTCATATCACACGTCCTGTAACACACATCACTTGCACACTACACACCAACACACGCCACCCTAACACACTACACACCAACACTACACACAATACTCCCACTCACGAATACTAAACACATACAATTACACACCACACACACACACACACACACACATTTTTAAAAAAATAATTATGCTAAAAAAATGTACATTTTAATGGAAACTTTAGAGTCAGGCAGAACGTTCTGGAACTAACTTTTTAAGGATTTCAAACGATCCGTCTCATGGATTTACTCAAAGTCAACATCATTATCAACATGTTGATCTAGAAACGGATCAAAATGTTGATAACGATGTGGATCAACATATTATGCACATCACAAAGGTTCAGCCAAAAAGTTATGTACAATATCAACGTGTGTATGAAACTAAGGAAAACATGGAATGTTCAACGTAAAAAGTTTCTTACATGTAAGTTGTTTGGCCCTGGTTGCTTCCCTTGATGGGAGTTCAAATAAAACAAAGGGTTAGCAGCTCAGGCCGCCTTTAGCTCGAGCTAAGGTTAAGATTATCAAGAACCGAATTCTTACTCTGACAGTTAAAGATACCCCCCCCAGGTTGTTTTAGGTACCGACCTTTGAACTAAGTGTGACCTAGATTCTACTGCCCGCCCCTTCACTTCACCAAGGAAATCCTTACACGGCCATTAGCCATTCGAGAAAAATCGAACTCAATTTTCATGACAATGGGTTGTTGATCGATGGCGTTGATCGCTCTATTCACACCTATTCTGATCAAACCTACATACAACTTCTAATCGAAAACTTTTTTTCTAATCCCGACCCCCCCCCCCCCCCCTCATCAATTGTTGGCCGTAAATTCGATAAGCAACAGATTCTTGAAATATTTTCAGCCTCACTGAGGTCAGGACGGGCCTTGCTAAGAGACATTTAAAAATGTGGATTTCTTCATATGGCAACGAAATTTCTAAAGTTAAAAACACAAATCATGGAATGATTTCTTTGTAAAAAAAATGGAATAAAATTAGATTCACGTGGAATGAAATAATTATTTTCTTTAAAAATTGATTAGCTATAATCATGATCAGCTATAATCATGATTATAAATAAATATAATTAACTATAATCATGATTATAAATAAATGTAACAGAATCAAATCACATAAAATGGAATGTCTACAATAAAAATGTACAAACTCGCGAATGGACCAATGGACCAACGGACCGATGGACCAATGGACAAGCGCTGACAGAAAACACGCAGTAACCGCCTGCGCACACAAAGAACCAGACTATACAATCATTATGCAGCAATAAGTTCATGTACGATAGACAATTTTATTTCGATAGAGAAATGAAATAAACGATAATAGTTTGTGTACTCGATAAGTGTGTACACTTTCATGTACAAGTCTCGTGTCTTGGGTGTGGTATGTACAAACTGAGCAAAACGTCACATCCGGCCTGTACATTGACAGCCGTGCTATTTATAGCTGGAACATATGAAAACAATGCCCTATCGATGAGAAGAAATGGCACAGACTTATGGGCATTTGTTTATATTTGATTTGCCGTAATTATCATGAAAAAAAGATTTATGAAGCACTTAATTAGACTACATTAATTACGATTTAACTTTTGATGTGCCTAGCATGAATCAGAAACAGTTTTTCATGGATCTGTTTTGTGATCAATTTACAATTTATTTGGACATTTAGATACCCTGTAAGCCCCTACCCCCCCCCCCCCCTGGTCCTAACACCACAGAGGTCGTTTAACTGCTCACCTTTCAGAGCACGCGCACAGTATCACGCTTGTCTCTTGCTTCTGTAGCCGACGATTGCGCTAATTACCCTAATTACCCTAATTGAAATGTCATCGGCGCGTTAATTATTTGCTCTGTTTTGTCGGGAACAAAAAAAATTGTTACAAAAAAATCTTTTTTGTTTGTAAATCGAAAAGTGGCCTTTCGGCTTACCGTACAATTGGAAAAGAAACAAAAATGTGACAATTGTGGCTTTCCATAAGCATGTACAATTGAGATCAGTAGAGCTTTAATTCTCCGAAGATTTTCTTCTCACGGAAGTTAAAATATGGCAGTTTGAAATCATTTGAGTTTGAGATCACAAACGTTATGTCAAGCGTTAAGCCTGCACACAACGTATTACATCATCCTAATTTAATTTAGGTCGATTTAACTTTGGGAAATGTCATTCATGTCTCGACATACATTAGCCTGATGACAAAAACTAATTAAAATCTTCTGGTGCCAGAGGTTCCATTGGCATGTCGACACTAACTTTCCACTAAGTCAATCAGAAATTTGGAAACTTTTTACCTTCAAGAGCTAGAGTTGTGGCCCCCCACCCATTGTTTATCTGCCCTGTAACCCCGCGATTATCTGCCCCTGTGGTGAGCGAATATTTTCTCAACTCTAGTTATTCCCGTCTTGAGGTCGTTTGAGTGGGGTCATTTTTTGGCCAGCACTCGTTTAGGCCACCTGGCCAGCATAGGTCAAACAGTTTTAGCCAGAGGTCAAGGCTGAGCAATGTACACGGCGCCCTGTAGCAGGCGCCAGTCCTGTAGAGATGCAGGCTGCTGCTGACCTACATGTGCGAGAGGGGAACGGTGCTGTTGTCGGAGGAGTTGGAGAGATGGTGTCCGTTCATGGAATACTGCATCTGTTGTAACCTTGCGAAGGCAGCTGCTGAGTGGGATTCGTTCCCCAGACCGTGGTCAGACTGGCCGGGCGGGAGGTACATGGAGATGAACTCCCGGATCTCGTTGCCGGTCTGTGCTGCCGTCGGGGTTGGGTACGGAGATTTGCTGGAGCCTGTGTGAGCCGGGGCGGCGCCCTGTCCCTGGGTGGGGGTCACTGACTCCCGCTTGATGCCGGGGGTACTGGAGTGACCCTGGGGCGTGGGTGACATGTTGTGGGCGGCGTAGGGCGCCATCTGGGCCATGCTCATGTTGTAACTGTTGGCCCCGTTCATGTAGCTACCGCTCGTGACCTGGCTCTGCATAGCTTGCGTGTTAAATCCTGGGTAATATCCGGCCGGCGAAAGTCCGGGCAAATGACCGGCCATTTGTTGGTAGGCGTTAGGGTCGCCCATCATGTGGGCGGCGTACCCGTTGGCCATGTACGAGTTCATGTGGGTGGGGTACATCCCCGATGGGTCGCGGCCAACCTGGGCCATGGCAGGGTTGGCCATGCCGGGCAGCGCGTACTTGTCTTTCTTCATCAGGGTCTTCGTCTTCCTACGTGGCCTGTACTTGTAGTCGGGGTGTTCCTTCATGTGGATGGCCCGCAGACGTTTGGCCTCGTCGATGAATGGCCGCTTCTCCGCTTCACTGAGCAGCTTCCACTCCGCCCCCAGCCTCTTGCTGATCTCAGAGTTGTGCATCTTGGGGTTTTCCTGCGCCATCTTGCGCCTCTGTCCACGTGACCAAACCATGAAGGCGTTCATTGGTCGCTTGACGCGGCTGGGGTCCATGTTGTTTTTAGAGTTGGTCGTGTTGTTGTTGTTGTTGTTGTTGTTGGTAGGACTCCCGCCATTGGGGGCGCCGCCGCCGTGGTTGGTCTGGGGGAGCTCCGTGTGCCCCCCTGACCCGGGGCGCGGCGACGTCTGTTGGGGGTGCATGGAGTGGTGCGACTGGTGCACCTGCGGCCCGCTGCTGACGGGCGGGAGCTGCGACTGCGGCTGGTGCAGGATGGGCGGCTTCATATCCTGCTCCATCATCATCATCTTGGACCGGTAGGGGTCACGGGGATCCCGAGGATCACGGGGGTCAAAACTTGGGTAGAAAATTTTGAGGCCGTATGTGGGTCAACCCGAGGAAAATAAAAAGGAATTCTGGGAAGGAGAGTCTGGTTTAGTTGGTTGCCAACCTGTCAGTGAGTGACTGGGTGGTTGGTGGCCGAGTGTACAAGGTGATATCTGCAGTGGCGTCGGTGTAGTTGCCAGTGGCGACTCTACTATCCAGGAAACATGAGGTTAGTGTCAGGTGTAGAGGCTGCTGGTACGAGGTTAGTGTCAGGTGTCCGAGCTAATTGTCAGCAACTATATCCAAGATCTCCAGAGATCAAGGTGAAGGTCACCGGGTGAAATGACCCAGGTGCTCACGAGGTCAGAGAGTGCATGAGGTGGGGCAGCGAGAGATGTCTCAGGTCAAGATCATCTGCAAGAGAAAAAACATTTTTATAGGGCGTGGTAAGTTTGTAGCACCTGACGTGTCAGTCAGTCACACCTGACGTGTCAGTCAGTCACACCTGACGTGTCAGTCAGTCACACCTGACGTGTCAGTCAGTCACACCTGACGTGTCAGTCAGTCACACCTGACGTGTCAGTCAGTCACACCTGACGTGTCAGTCAGTCACACCTGACGTGTCAGTCAGTCACACCTGACGTGTCAGTCAGAGTGTCAGTAACACCTGACGTGTCAGTCAGTCACACCTGACGTGTCAGTCCGTCACACCTGACGTGTCAGTCACACCTGACGTGTCAGTCAGTCACACCTGACGTGTCAGTCACACCTGACGTGTCAGTCACACCTGACGTGTCAGTCAGTCACACCTGACGTGTCAGTCAGCGACACCTGTCATAGGGAATTAATCACGTGATACCCGAGTATCGACAAAAATGATCAAATTGGCCGTTGACACGCGAACAGAATCAAGTTAAAACCCCAACAGTCTGCTAAAGATGGGGTCATATGGGGTCAGATGGGGTCAGATGGGGTCAGATGGGGTCAGATGGGGTCAGATGGGGTCAGATGGGGTCAGGTGGGGTCAGATGGGTCGATTGGTTCGTGTCGGATCACGTAAATAAATGACGTCACGACAATAATTTTAAAAACTCTTTAAAAATCAACAAAAGTTCAAAAAAATTTAATTTAAATCACAGAAAAATCAACTTCAAATTGAAACGACACAAATTCATCATTTGAAATCTCAAAAAATCAACTTCATATTAAAACGACGAAAATTCATCACTTGAAATCTCAGAAAATAAACTTTAAAACGACGAAAATTCATCATTTGAAATCTCAGAAAATAAACTTTAAAACGACGAAAATTCATCAATTGAAATCTCAGAAAATAAACTTCAAATTAAAACGACGAAAATTCATCACTTGAAATCTCAAGGCAGGTCAAACCACAGGATGGGGATGTTTGACTTGACACCTAGGTAAATTGACAAAAATGTGAGACAAATATTTGACAAGATCCTTGACTTGGACGAATGGCCTTCACCTTGCTAGCGTTTAGACTGTTGCTGGTTACCTACACAAACCACTGACGTCACAATCAACGCGAACCACTGACGTCACAGTCAACGCGAACTACTGACGTCACAGTCAACGCGAACCACTGACGTCACAATCAACGCGAACCACTGACGTCACAATCAACGCGAACCACTGACGTCACAATCAACGCGAACCACTGACGTCACAACTAACCAAAGAACTTAATTAAATCACCAATTAAAAAGCCTCAAGAAAATGTTCAAACTGAAAGAAAGTTTCTGCGAACAAGAAGGCAGCGATGTGATCTAATGCTGGCGGTTTGTTTCACGTAGCTCAACTGTGAACTGACGTCACAAACACCTAGCTCAACTGTGAACTGACGTCACAAACACGTACCTCAACTGTGAACTGACGTCACAAACACGACCGTCTTAAACTCGCGACAGACGACGAAAATGAATTTTGAAATTTAAAACAAAAACTTTTTATAACATGTGGCAGTTGGCCAGCACAAGCAACACACCTCGCCCCCCCCCCCCCCACACACACCCCACACATCCCCCCACATATTGAAGTGTGTCACGTCTGTCGAGCCCAGTCCGTCTTTTTGTCCTCCCATTCTTCAACATTGGCGGCCGTCACGTAGAGACATTCCATTGTGTGAGGGTCTGTGTGTGTGGGTCTGTGTGTGGGTCGTGTGTGAGGGTCTGTGTGTAGGTCTGTGTGTAGGTCTGTGTGTGGGTCTGTGTGTGAGGGTCTGTGTGTGAGGGTCTGTGTGTGAGGGTCTGTGTGTGAGGGTCGTGTGTGAGGGTCTGTGTGTAGGTCTGTGTGTGGGTCTGTGTGTGAGGGTCTGTGTGTGAGGGTCTGTGTGTGAGGGTCTGTGTGTGAGGGTCGTGTGTGAGGGTCTGTGTGTGTGGGTCGTGTGTGAGGGTCGTGTGTGAGGGTCTGTGTGTAGGTCTGTGTGTGGGTCTGTGTGTGAGGGTCCGTGTGTGTGAGTCTGCGTGTGTGGGTCTGTTTTTGTGGGTCCGTGTGTGTGGGTCCGTGTGTGAGTCCGGGATTTTAACGGTTTGCGTGATTTAAGCGTGAATTTGTGTGGTTTTCGTGTGGATGTGGCTTGCATGTGGCTGTGGCTTGCATGTGGCTGTGGCTTGCATGTGGCTGTGGCTTGCATGTGGCTGTGATTTGCGAGTGTTGTAGATGAACTGACAGGAAATAATCCCAACATTAAAACTTGTAAGACGGATAAGTCTCTGAACACCTCAAGTAGTTCAACACACAGGTGCGACACAGGTGCGACACAGGTGTGTCGTAGAAATACAATCGCCTTTTCGGATTGAACACAAACGTGTCCACTTATTTTTTCCCTACCTACTGATGAAGACCGGTGGTCGAAACGTACTGGTGCTAGTTTGTTTAACATGGTTTAACTTGGCGCTAGTTAGGTTAACATGGTTTAACTTAGCGCTAGTTAGTTTAACATGGTTTAACCTAGTACTAGATTGTTTAACATGGTTTAACCTAGTACTAGATTGTTTAACGTGGTTTAACCTAGTACTAGATTGTTTAACGTGGTTTAACCTAGTACTAGATTGTTTAACGTGGTTTAACTTAGTGCTAAACTGTGGTGAGCGGAAGAGGGCGTTAAGCAATACAAATAATTTGACTAATTAAGTTTCCTGATTGGATTTTAACTGTTGATTAAAAAGTCGACAATTGTTTTTACACGTGTCATGTGAGAAGGCGTCAGTGGGCGGGGCATTTTATAGTGCGCATGCGCAGAGAGTGCGAGGGGTAACTGGTGAGAAAATCACCAGATATTGGTGAGACAATCACCAGATATTGGTGAGACAATCACCAGATATTGGTGAGACAATCACCAGATATTGGTGAGACAATCACCAGATATTGGTGAGACAATGCCCAGATATTGGTGAGACAATCAAAATGGGGGAATGGTGACTTTCCACATCAGACTTCAAGGGTCGGGTTTAAACACTTCATCCGGAGTAGACATTGAAAACCCTACGGTAAGACATTGAAAACCCTACGGCAAGACATTGAAAACCCTACGGCAAGACATTGAAAACCCTACGGCAAGACATTGAAAACCCTACGGCAAGACATTGAAAACCCTACGGCAAGACATTGAAAACCCTACGGCAAGACATTGAAAACCCTACGGCAAGACATTGAAAACCCTACGGCAAGACATTGAAAACCCTACGGCAAGACATTGAAAACCCTACGGCAAGATATTGAAAACCCTACGGCAAGACATTGAAAACCCTACGGCAAGACATTGAAAACCCTACGGCAAGACATTGAAAACACTAAATCAGACATAAACCCTAAGTTAGACAAAAAAAAAACCCTCAGACTAAACCCTACAACGGATCTTTAAAATTACTTTAGCGTGTTCAACTTTAGCGTGTTCAACTTTAGCGTGTTCAACTTTAGCGTGTTCAACTTTAGCGTGTTCAACTTTAGCGTGTTCAACTTTAGCGTGTTCAACTTTAGCGTGTTCAACTTTAGCGTGTTCAACTTTAGCGTGTTCAACTTTAGCGTGTTCAACTTTAGCGTGTTCAACTTTAGCGTGTTCAACTTTAGCGTGTTCAACTTTAGCGTGTTCAACTTTAGCGTGTTCAACTTTAGCGTGTTCAACTTTAGCGTGTTCAACTTTAGCGTGTTCAACTTTAGCGTGTTCAACTTTAGCGTGTTCAACTTTAGCGTGTTCAACTTTAGCGTGTTCAACTTTAGCGTGTTCAACTTTAGCGTGTTCAACTTTAGCGTGCTTTTCGAAAGCTCAACACGGACAAATAAAACAGACAAATTTTGTGACACCTTTCTGCAGACTTTACCCGAGACTTTACCCGAGACTTTCAAGCAGACTTTTTTTCAAGTCCTTATACCAGACTTTATACAAGACTTTCAAGCAGACTTTGTTCAAGTCCTTATACCAGACTTTATACAAGACTTTCAAGCAGATTTTGTACAAGTCCTTATACCAGACTTAATACAAGACTTTCAAGCAGACTTTGTACAAGTCCTTATACCAGACTTTATACAAGACTTTCAAGCAGACTTTGTTCAAGTCATTATACCAGACTTTATACAAGACTTTCAAGCAGACTTTGTACAAGTCCTTATACCAGACTTAATACAAGACTTTCAAGCAGACTTTGTTCAAGTCCTTATACCAGACTTAATACAAGACTTGTAAGCAGACTTTGTTCAAGCCCTTATACCAGACTTAATACAAGACTTTCAAGCAGACTTTGTTCAAGTCCTTATACCAGACTTTATACAAGACTTTCAAGCAGACTTTGTACAAGTCGTTATACCAGACTTAATACAAGACTTTCAAGCAGACTTTGCAAAAAGCATACTTTCAATTAGACTATATACAAGACTTACAATCAGACAGACATACTTGACCAAGACGGCTGTAGTTATGTACACATGATGACGTCAGATGTGTACAAACTCGCGACCATGATCAGACCGGTTTGTATTCTATTTTTAGATTTCGTTATCGCTCAGATGACAGTAATAACGTCAAAGTTACAGTAGGTATGGGGGGGGGGGGGGTCGTGTTCCCGTGTTTGTAGAGAATTGTGTTTAAACACAACACACAGAGATGTGGTACCACTTTAAACGCAACACACTGACTACATGTAGACATTTGAAACACTGGTCATTTTCGTAACTCGTTTAACAACATGACCAACTGCACAACATGACCAACAAAATGACCAAGCTTCACAAAATGACCAAGTGTCACTAAATGACAAACTGTCACAAAATGACCAAGTGTCACTAAGTTGAACGTAACAAAGTTAATAAATATCAGACTGTCAAAATAAAAATAAAAATGTCACATGCACGTAGGGATAGTTGGTCAATGTGACAGATAGGTCATCTAATGTGACAGATAGGTCATCTAATGTGACAGATAGGTCATCTAATGTGACAGATAGGTCATCTAATGTGACAGATAGGTCATCTTAATGTGACAGATAGGTCATCTTAATGTGACAGATAGGTCATGTGACAAGAGTTGTGACTAGTCGACAATTTGACACCGGAAGTTGTAACGGCAGATGAAATCAATACATGACGTCATTGATTGTGATTATTAAAAATGACAAGAATTCATCGCCTCCGAAAATATCGGGAATTAACGTTCAACTCAAGGCGGGGTGGAGGGGGGGGGTATTAGCTGACAAGACGTTTGTTATCTTAATTATCACATCGACCTGTAGCAGGTTATACCTGTAATTTATTACACCTTAATTATCTCATTAAATTATTTCAAAACATTCTGGTTCGATCGCCGATCTCAGATCGTAACACCCACACCATTCGACAACCACACTACGAAGACAACCACACCATCAGGACACATACACCACCCGACACCACAACCACCAGGACACCTACCAGACCTACCAAGGGAGTTAAGGCTGTACCAGACCTACCACGGGAGATAAGCATGGATTAAAGTTTGTACTTTTGAAGCCGCTAGCTGTAGAAGCTATGACAGCCATGATGTAAACACGGCCATTGATAGAACTCTAAATACTTGCATTGGGCGGTTACACCGGCACGGCTAAACTTAACCGGCTAACTCTGGCGCGCAGAGCGGCTCAAACTGTCCTCAAGTTTTGGGAAAGTTTCTCGGGCTCTTATCTAGAGGGGGGGGGGGGGGGTCATTAATTCCAGCATTTTTAATTATTTTATTTGTACAGCGATAAAACAAAACAGTTTGTCTTTGGTGGGGGGGGGGGGGGGTCCCGGGTACTGATGGGGAGGGGGGGATACATATTGTGTTTTGGTGATAAGCAGTGAGTTATGGGGAGGGGTGGAGATGGGGTGGGGTTCTCGGCTCTAAGGCAGATAAATGACACGGCAGATAACTAATGACATAAGCTATGACATGTGTCATTAAGTGAAAGTTTAAAACCTGCGCTTGAGCAACCTCGATGTGTTGGTGGCCAATCGTATTTCGGCCGGCAAAACGTGAAAGCCGGCAACGGATTGAAGCCGGTCCTGTAATTTATATTGGAGAACACATTAATGCCGGTCAGTAGTTAAGCCGGCGCACAATTAATGCCGGTCAGTAGTTCAGCCGGCGACCAAAAAATAAACCGGCACCTAACGAACCGGTTTGAAAATTGCCGGTCCAGACTTGTGCTACACGCGGGATCGACTCCCTGCTAGACGGACGAGCCAACGGTAACTCGACACCTCGGATCACGGCACTACACGACTACTGTCACGCTACGTGATCTCCCCACATACAGGCGTGACAATCGATCTCTGTGATCGATGTCGTCCTATAAACGGTAGCTAGACTTGACGGGAGCGTGACACATTGGTACGGCTAAACACACAGCTAAACACATTGGTACGGCTAAACACACGGCTAAACACACAGCTAAACACATTGGTACGGCTAAACACACGGCTAAACACACAGCTAAACACATTGGTACGGCTAAACACATTGGTACGGCTAAACACATTGGTACGGCTAAACACATTAGTACGGCTTAGCACATTGGTACGGCTAAACACATTGGTACGGCTAAACACATTGGTACGGCTAAACACATTGGTACGGCTAAACACATTGGTACGGCTAAACACATTGGTACGGCTAAACACATTGGTACGGCTAAACACATTGGTACAGCTAAACACATTGGTACAGCTAAACACATTGGTACAGCTAAACACATTGGTACGGCTAAACACATTGGTACGGCTAAACACATTGGTACGGCTGTACAGCTAAACACATTGGTACGGCTAAACACATTGGTACGGCTAAACACATTGGTACGGCTAAACACATTGGTACGGCTAAACACATTGGTAAGGCTAAACACACTGGTACGGCTAAACACATTGGTACGGCTAAACACATTGGTACGGCTAAACACACGGCTGAACACATTGGTACGGCTTAACACTAATCTTCGAACTTAGTCAATTAAATTATTAACGACCTTAATGAGCGCTGATTAGCTTGTGTGATGGCTCCCAATAAAACCTGTGCTAAGCGTGCGATACACGACACGAAATGTTGACTAAACTTTGACCGGAAGCCGGCTGACACAGGTTACACGACAACCGGCAGACAAAGGAAATGTCCGGTCAGACATCTGTCACCGTGCCACCTACACGACAGACGAACAAAGCGACCGTCTGACAGACAAACCAGATACACGAAATCACAGTTTAACGCAGGAGTTTAACGCTAAGTTTAGCAAGGGAGTTTAGCACTAGAACTTACAACTAGCAGTTTAGCACTAGAACTTACAACTAGCAGTTTAGCACTAGAACTTACAACTAGCAGTTTAGCACTAGTATCTACAGTTGTAAGTGAAATAAGTTACAACATCACATAACATCACAACTAACAACAGCACCACCAGTAACTAAACGCTTACAACACACATATTTTGTGAATTGCCTTCATTCAAGTCACTATTTGTTTATCTAATGTTTAACTGTCGTTGTTAAACATTATTGTTAAACTAGGTAAACTTCGTTAAACTATGTAAACTTCGTTAAACTAGGTAAATTTCGAAATTGGTAAACTTCGTTAAACATTGTTAAGCTAGGTAAAGTTCGTTAAACGTTATTGTTAAACCAGGTAAACTTCGTTAAACATTATGGTTAAGCTAGTAAACCTTGGTTAAACGTTGTGATTAAACTTTTCAAACTTACAGTTAAACTTTAGTTAACTTGATAAAAACTTCATCAAACTTAGTTAAACTTTAGTTACCTTAATACTTGATCAAACTTTGGTTAACTTCATAAAAACGTGATCTAACTTACAGTTAAACTTTGGTTAAACTTGCTTGAACTGATGGAGAACTATTCACCTGAGGCCGGACACAGGTGTGTTAAGATGGACGGCGGGTGTGTTTGAAAGTTTTTTAAATCTTTTCCGTTAACACGGCCCCGTGTGATCTCGGGGTTAGCTCAACCCACATGACCCGTGCCACGACCCGTGCCACGACCCGTGCCACGACCCAGGGATGACCCGTGTTCAGGTACACACGGAGGGGGTTGAGGACAACTCACCGATGGCCAACTCATTGGTTGGCCAACACAGTAACAAAATCTTGGCCCGATACAATGTTGGCCTTAATGCAATGTTGGCCCTAATACAATGTTGGCCCTAATACAATGTTGTCCCTAATACAATGTTGGCCCTAATACAATGTTGGCCCTAATACAATGTTGGCCCTAATACAACGTTGGCCCTAATACAACGTTGGCCCTAATACAACGTTGGCCCTAATACAATGTTGGCCCTAATACAATGTTGGCCTCAATGAAAAGTTGGCCAGACAATATTTCCATCGATAAAACACGTTCGGGCCGTAACATAGCGTTGGCCAGCAAAATACAATGAGAAAACCAACATTGGCCAAGACACAGTGTAGGCCACTAAGATGGCCAAAAACACAAACCGATATCAAGACAATGTGGACGTACCTGTAGTATCCGCAAAAAATCAATCGATATAATCCAAACTTCGATCTCCGAACTGAACAAATTAAACAAGCAAGTTGTGCAAGTGTTGTATTGTATGCTGACCCAAAATCCTGATGTACAAAATCAACAATCAATGGATGGTCAAAGCTGAACAGGACACAAGTCCTTCGTCCTTTGAGTCAGGGGACACTACAGCCGTTTGAATACCTAGAAAAAGGAAGTGGAAAAAAGCGCTCACATATAATCGCCTGTGTGGGTCCTCAATAGCTCCTTTCACCCTCTCCCGTCAACTGTGTAGATAGAATGATAAATCTTTGTGGCATTCAGAGGCAATGGCTAGGGCGATTCCATTCGACAACTCGGCTATTCAATGGCTAATGCGCTCGGCTCAGCTTGTGTTATTGATTCTGACTGGTCCAATAGGCGCGAGGCTGGCCAATCAAAACACGCCGTTGTACACAGCGTTGGAGAGGTAAAAGGCGGGTGCGCGCGGCTCGTGACAATGGCGCGCGGGGCGGGGCGTGCTCGAGTGAGGGAGCCAGTGAATGAGAAGAGGGCGGGGCCTAAGTGAGAGGAGCTGTCCTTTAGGGCTGGGGTTTAGAGAGTAGGTTGAGGGGAGGGGAGGGTTTTCTTGGTAATGGATTGAGAGAGGACAGAATTGAAAGAGAGGGACACACACACACACACATATATACACACATGTGATCGATGAATCGGTTCGATCTCTTCCAATACTGATAAGAAAAAAATTTCTCGATGGTACAAAAGGGAAGGTTGTCCATCAAAGACATCAGCTAGTGCAGTCCCCCCCCCCCCACACACACACACCAGCCAGGGTAGACCCACAACATTTTTACAACATGTCAATGACCACAACATTTTTACAACATCTCAATGACCACAACATTTTTACAACATCTCAATGACCACAACATTTTACAAAATCTAAATGACCCCAACATTTGACAACATCTGAATGATGGTAGTTGGTCCAACATTTGTAAAAACAAAATTGTCGACTGGCGAGTATGGCATGTCTGCCCCCCATTTGTCGTCTGTGGTTAGCTCTGGTTAGCCCTTTCTTGTGGGGTAGCCCTTTCTTGTGTGGTTAGCCCATACTAGTGGGGTAGCCCTTTCTTGTGGGGTTAGCCCTTTCTTGAGGGGTTAGCCTGTACATATCATCTACTATGGTTAACCCTCAACATTCCACCCCCCTCCCCTCCGTTAACAGTCGTGGCCCCCATGAAACCCGAGCCCAACCCTGACGTGTGGGCCGTAAACCCGAGCGGGAGCCGAGCAATTGTTGAGCCAGGTCTCAATGGGCCAGCGACACGAGGCTTACATAGACAGCAGCAACAGGCCGGGGAAAGTGTGAGGTATTTCATCTACAATAGACTACACGACTGGAGACACTAGCGAAACTCTAGCTGCAATACAAGGGGACGGCCAAGGTGAAGGTCGCAGTCTTATCGTAGGGTGCGTGAGGAGAATAGGTGCACATTGTTGCGCCGAATGGTGCACACAGTGGAACCGTCGTGTGCGACAGGAAAACCGGAAGTGATGTTACGCTGGATAAAAACATGCGTGTGTGTAGTAGGTGGTGTGTGTGTGTGTAGTAGGTGGTGTATGTGTGTGGTGTGTGTGTGTGTGTCCCGTAGTGTGTGTAGTAGGTGGTGTGTGTGTAGTGGGTGGTGTGTGTGTGTGTAGTAGGTGGTGTGTGTGTGTGTGTGGTGTGTGTGTGTCCCATAGTGTGTGTAGTAGGTGGTGTGTGTGTTTGTGTGTGTCCCATAGTGTGTGTAGTAGGTGGTGTGTGTGTTTGTGTGTGTCCCATGGTGTGTGTAGTAGGTGGTGTGTGTGTGTGTGTAGTAGGTGGTGTGTGTGTGTGGTGTGTGTGTGTGTGTGTGTGTCCCATAGTGTGTGTAGTAGGTGGTGTGTGTGTAGTAGGTGGTGTGTGTGTGGTGTGTGTATGGTGTGTGTGTGGTGTGTGTGTGTGTGTGTCCTGTAGTGTGTGTAGTGTGTTAACGACCATGACCTACACATCCAGGAAATGACAGCCTGCAGTGTTGAAATGTCAGGTGTGTCATGTGTAGCTGACATCAATGCCAGACATGTGATGTCACATGCTGGGTACTCAGCTAGAGCTGGGTTGTCTGAGTTCCAAACCCGCGTCACGTGACCTCAGCGAGCCAATGAAAATATCACAGGTTCCTTCTGTCACGAGTTGTATTTGTTGCTCTGACGAAGGCCTTCGGTCTAAACATTGTCACACGACAGTTGACCAAACGCTGACCAATACTGACATGTCATTCAGTGACACAAACACATGTCATTCAGTGACACAAAAACATGTCATTCAGTGACACAAAAACATGTCATTCAATGCGAAATTGACAGGTTGTCATTGTTTCTTCCCCTTGTCATTGGATGTCATCCATTAAAAATCCCACCCATTAAAAATCCCACCCATTAAAAATCCCACCCTTTTGAAATCCCATATTTATGTAAAAACCTAGAGAAAAACGTATCTGGAATAAAAGTGGTTTGTTTTTGTTGAGACGCTCAGGGGAAGGAAATCTACACCGTCAGGGGCGGCAATCCAGTCGTGGTCTGCAGCACAAAGGGAGGGAATCATGTGAGCACAGTTGCCGGTTGCCGGCTCCCAACTTCTCCATTACCTCGTCTGTATGACGATCCGGTTGCCGGCCGGTCAATTACACCTGTGATACCACAATGCCGGTTATACGGTTCCGTGTAGCCGGATGGTCTTCAATGTAGCCGGATGGTTTTCCGTGTAGCCGGATGGTTTTCCGTGTAGTCGGAAGACCGTACGAGTAGCCGGTTCAAAGCCTGATGTGGTGGTGTGTTTATTGGCCCTACGTGTGGTGTGCCACACGATGTGGGGGACATGTGGTTTAACCACACGATGTGGGGACATGTGGTTTAACCACACAATGTGGGGGACATGTGGTGTAACCACACGATGTGTGGACATGTGGTGTGCCACACAAGAGCTGACTCCAGACACACTGCTCAAACGTAAACACGTGAGCTAATTCTGAGCTAAGAGGAGCTAGACATTAAATTTTGTAAACAGGAAGTGATGTGGGGTGGAGCATAAGAGAGAACTTCTGGTGTCCCCGCCCCCCCCCCCCCCTCGCTACGCTACTGTATTTGGACATTAATGCCCCCATGGGTTTGACCACGAATACGTCATCAGTTGGTGCCCCGGACACCTCATGGCACAAGACGAGAACACGACACGCATCACTGACTTCAGACACACATCGCTGACTTTAGACACACATCGCTGAGTTTAGACACACCAATCTCACGACGCCAGAGTTAGCCGTACGGAACCTGGTCTTCCACAGTGGGATGGGCTATTGATCTATCGATACGGCAGATGGGCTATCGATACAGGGGATAGGGTATCGATACATGAGATAAGGTATCGATACATGAGATAAGGTAGTGAGATAAGGTATCGGTGTAAAAGATTTAAGAAATATGAAGTATCGATTCGGTTTCTGTCGTCGATAGATGGGAGGTGGTAATTAAAATTTAATTAGCGGGGAGACAGGACCTTATTAGGTCACCGTCCAGCGGCATGCGAGAGAAATGTTCTTGATCTCCCCACCCCCGGGATCAGAGCTCCTTACCCCCGAGATCAGAGGTCGCTGACGGTGGGGTGCTAATGGGTTTGTGTTTTAATTAGCTCTGTGACTACTGGTAGGGGGTGTGTGTATGTGCGTGTGTTTGTCCATGTATGTCATATATGTGTGCATGGATGTGTATGTCTGGGTGTTTATGTACTACATACGTTTATGTTTGTTCACATAGTGATATGTGTATGTGTGGGTATGGTGGTGGGAATATGAGTGTATATGTCAAACTGTATCTGTGTATATGTGCATGTATGTGTGTTTGTGTCTATTTATGTATGTGAGTGTAGGCCTATGTGCTTTTATAGGAGAGGGCGTGTATGTGTGTATGTGTGTGTATGATCGTATGTGTGTGTGTTAATTTTTGTGAGATAATTATTGTGAGATAATTTTTGTGAGATAATTATTGTGAGATACTGTTGGGTGTAAATTAAATGTCAAACATTGTGCTTAGACCTTTGTTAAAGAACTTGCGTTAAGATTTCCGTGATCTACTTCACCTACGATCTAACAAACGGGAGAGACAAAATATCCGGATGGTACACGTCATTACCACCACATCTCTGACGTCACTCTAATGACGGCGTTAAGAAAAACTGTGACCTAATTAAGATCAATGTTTGTCGCTTGTCTCCCCCTACTTAAAATATTTCCATCTGAAATTAGCTCGGCGAGAAAACAAACTTCACCTGACAACCATACAAGGGTAGGTAGCACTGGCTACACTGGGCCCAGGCTAGCCACTGGCTACCTAGAGTTGACCCAAGCTTTTGTTTTGAAGAGAGCCATAAAATTGTCCATCTATTGTTACTTCCCCTCCCAGCCTCAGTCGCCGGCCCTTGGCATTCTGATGTCATCATCTTGTCGTGCGGTAAGAAAAACTCTCTAATTAAAGTCTTAACAAAACATTTGGGACACGGGTTTTCTCAGGCTCATGTGGATTTGATCCTGGTCCCTCCATTGTACCGTGTTGTTGTTGGCCATTGTGCCGGCCCGACCCTGGGGGTCGCAGCCCCGTGTCAGACACAATATTGTATCCCCACCCTCAGGCACCCGCCGGCTATTTTTGGACCTGGACAAGGGTGTAATTACTACCCCATTCATCCGGCCCGTGACGTCACGGTGGTCAGCTAGTTAAGACCACTTGAGTGGACCAGGGGACAGCCCGTCAAGTGGCCTTGACCTTTGACAGGTAGGTACTAATTAAGGGATCAGAGGGTCGCCATCTTTACTGACAGTACAACACAGGTCACATGACGTCATCTGAACCAGGTCATTAGGTACACGGCGAGAATTGTTGTGACGTCATCAACGTTTGGACGATGGATGTGACATGTAGGGTGACACTCGGACAATCAGCATACACACATACACACAAACACACACACTCAAACACACACACACACACACACACACTCCACTCGAAAAATCAGCCAATACTCACACACACACAAACACTCACACACACTCGAACAATCAGACAACACACACACGCACACACACACTCACACACACTCTCACACACACACTCCACTCGAAAAATCAGCCAATACTCTCACACACACATATAGATTCTCCCACATTCATACACATTCTCTCACCTATACATTGCCATACGCACACACACACACACACACACACAGTCTCACTTGACATATCAGGTGCAAATCAGATGTCATTTGGTGATGACGTGCA